CGGGAGGAATCAAATTTCTTTCCACCTTCAAGTATCCTGGTGTAGTGCACTATGCAGGTCCAGCTGTGCTTTGGGGAGGTGCACCCGTCTCCTGGGGAGATGGTCTCCACCTGCATTCCCATGGTGGCAGCAGACACTGCATGGGTGGCGTGACCAGTGGCATGGACTGAGAGAAAAGATGAGTTTTTAAAGGAAGAGTATTCAGCCTATTTTCATAATAGTATTATAGTTTGGCCCAGAAATCCATTAATATCTATTTCAAAGTAGATACAGATGGTGCCAAAGGTTAGATTTATAAACTTAACTTTGTTTTGAAAGTCTTACATTCCCTGTCATCCCAAGCAAATTAAGGGTAAAAGACTTAAATTATTTTCCTATAAAAGACAGATGAGCAGAACAGTAAGAGAGTTGTACATTAAAATTATTTTGTATATCCCTGTGCCAAATAGCCACAAACACAGTACTGTTTATTTTTTTTTTTTTCTTGACTTGGGAAGGTACCAGAATACAGTACTGTTTAAATGTCGGCCCATCCATGCCCAGAATAGAGTTTTCCAAGAATTAGGGTGATTGTGGCTTCATCACACAGCCCCTGGCAACAGTTCATCTGGTAACTGAGTCCCCTGTTCCCCAACAGTGCTGGCCCTGAGAACGGCATTGAATAGAACTCAGCATTGAGGCCTCTGCCACAATCAGGTCTCTGGTAACTTGAAAAGAAGTAATGAGGGACCTCAGCTGAATCTTCTTGTTGGTGCCAACAGAAAGTCTGTATTAATGTCTGTCATTTTGGTCAATAAAAGTATTGAAACTGAAGATGGAATGTTAACACAAACAAGTGTGTCTCCGTCAGGTGTCTTGTTTATAGTACCAATCCCTTCAGAGTTCTTACCTCCATGTTTCTTTAGGCTGTTGGACAACATCACAAAATGTCATCAACGTCTGACATGAGCAGGTGGCCTGTGCATTTGTAGACAGTCTCCTCTGTCACCTTCCCAAAGGCCGTATCATGCTCTGTAAAATGTTCAGAGCCCTGGGCATATCTCCACTGGAAAAAGTTATGTGCTTTCACCCTATCTGCACTTGTATCAATTTTCTCCTTCTCTACAACATGTTCCAAGTGGGGAGCCATGAGTTCAGGATTATGGGGATCAAATCAGAAATTTATACACCGGGACTGAAAGGTGGGTGTGATCTTTCACAGATCGTTACAGATGAGGCAAAAGCTGACACTTTCAGTGACTTTCTCAACCACTTTCCTCAAAGCAGTCTATTTATCTTGTTGGGGAAATATGATTGAGGAATGAAATGTGGCTCATAAGATCATTATTCTATTGTATAACCCAATATTACCATATTAAAGACAGAAACAGGAGTTTGCAGGGTTTTGCCCTGAAGGAATGTATAGACTCAATGGTTCACTTATTAGAGGCTGCTATCATGGGAGAGCTCTCAAATCTCCAGTGGGGACGTTTTCTAGGAAGGCTTCCCGGTATCTCAAAATCTGCGAGCTTCCCTGTGTCTTGAAAGACAAGACAAGGCAAACAGGGCCCACAGGATAGGAGCCGGAGACAATGAGTGCACTTCGCCCAGAGAAGCGCCCGGTGGTTATAAACAACCTGTTTTATTAGTAATGGGCTTCCTGCTCTCTCCTGTCTATCTACCTTTAAGTCCACCATAACTAATCAAAGAAATATATACAGTCACTACACCTCTTTTATTTTACCTTTGTTAACTGACAACTACTACCTCTTTAGAAGTTAGCCCTTGAAAGACCTCATACCTGTTTGTTTACCTAGATAGATTAGAAGCCCCTTGAGCGGACTTTGGACTTTTGACCCTAACCCACTACCTGTATCCCTTAGCAACTGCATTCCCTGATATGCAAATATGTTACCCTGACTACTGGCAACTGATGTCTGTGATTATAAAAACCTGTATGAATCTAACCATACTGCTGGCAGTTATGGAGATCCGCCAGTCTCCTAGGTGCCCTCCGCTGTGTTATATATGATCTCTTTATATATATAAATAAATAAAACTATCAACTACTATACCTTAGTCTCTGTGTATTCTTTTATTTCTCTCTGTTGCCTATCAATTTCCTTATCCTCTGTGGCGACCTCTATCTTAGGGACTAGGGACCTGGCTCCATGAGGAGAAGTAGCTCATCTCCTCGCAGGCCTGCCTCAACTACTCTCGCCCCGCAGTATCTTGAGTCACGGCATCAGGTGCATCAAGGATTACTACTTTAAAGCCTTCTTTAAATATTGTCCTTGTGCTGGCAAAGCTCAGGATTGGTCCCTGAACAAAATGTATTCCTCAGTCATCTGAAGCACTCAGCTCCAAGACCATGGAGCCAAATTCTTTTTGTCTATTACTTAGCACAGGCTAGGATGGTGACTGTCTTTCCTATCCCTAGAGGACCAGAGAGAGAGAGGCAGGTGTGGCAGTCAGTCTTTACTGACAAATTCTGAACGGTACTCAAAATGTTCTGATGAGAAATGAGATAATTCAGGGTCTGCAGCCAGTATTTTTCAACCCAGGGCAGGTTCTGGATACTGGCTACCATGGGCTGCTGCTGCTACTGCTTAAGCAATGAGGTCACCATGGTAGGGGGATGAGGGTAACTGCTGTGATCAGCATGTTCCCAGGCTCCTGCACAGGCGAGCAGCCACAATCTCATTTTGCACTTCTTTGGTTAAATTTATTCCTAATTATTATACTCTTTTTGAAGCTACTGCAGATGGAATTGTTTTCTTAACTTCATTTTTGGATTTTTCATTACTAGTGTATAGAAAAGCAAACAATTTTTGTACATTAACCTTGTATTCTATAACCTTCCTGAACTTGTTTATCAGTCTCCCATCCAAGTAATAACAGGTAGCTCAGACGAGATCAGGCGTGTTCGGGGTGATATGGCCATAGATGCCTTTATTATTTCCAATAGTTTTTTTCATGGATTCCTTAGGATTTTCTATATATAAAACCATGTCATTTGTGAACAGAGATAGCTTTACTTTTTCCTGTCCAATTTCAATGCCTTTTTATTTTTTTCTTGCTTAACTAAGTTTCTAGCTAGAACCTCCAGTACAATATTAAATAGAAGTGGAAAGAACAGACATCCTTGTCTTGTTCCTGCTATTAGAGAGAAAACATCTAGTCTTTAATCATGAGTTTGGAGATGGATGGTTCACAGATGCCCTTTATCAAATTAAGGGAGGTTCCTTGTATTACTAGCTCATACAGAGTTTTTATTACAAAAGGGCACTGAATTTTGTCAAATGCTTTTCCTGCATCTGTTGAGATAATCACAGGATTTTTAAAACTCAGTTGATGCAGTGTATTACATTACTTTTTGGATGTTAAACCAACCTTATATTCCTGGGATAAATCCCACTTTGTCATCCTATATAATTCTTTTTATATGTTGCTGGATTCAGTATGCTAGTATTTTATTGAAGATTTTTTATCCATATTCATAAGATATACTGGCCCATAGTTTTCTTATGTCTTCGGTTTTCATATCAGGGTAATATGGGCTTATAGAATAAGCTGAGAAGTGACCCATCCTCTTCTATTTTTCAGAAGAGTTTGTGAAGAATTGGTATCAATTCTTTAAATGTTTGGTAGAATTCATTAGTGAAGTTATTGGGGCTTGGGCTTCTTTTGTGGATAGTTTTTGTTGTTGTTATTAGCCAATACAATCCCTTTACTTGGTATAGGTCTATTCAGATTTTCTATTTCTTATGTCAGTTTTGGAAGTTTGCATCTTTCTAGTAATTTGTCCATCTCATCTATGTTATCTAATTACTGGTATACAATTATTCATAGTATTCCATTATAATCCTTTTTATTTCTGAAAGGTCAATAATAACATTCCCTCTTTCATTCCTAATTCTAGTCATTGAGTCTTTTTTCCCCCTGAATCTAGCTAAAGGTTCATCAGTTTTGTTGATCTTCTGAAAAACCCAGACTTTAGTTGCACTGATTTCTTCTATTCTCTATTACATTAATTTCCATTCTGATCATTTACCACTATAAATTTCCCTCTAAGTACTACTTTAGCTGCATCTCATAAGTTCTGGTAGGTTGTATAATATCTTCATTTTCATTCATCACAAAGTTTTTTTATTTTCCTTTTTTTTGAGGGAGGGTCTCCCTCTATTGTCTGGGCTTAACATAGGCATCATCATAGCTCACTACAACCTCAAACTCCTGGGCTCAAATGATCCTCCTGCCTCA